TGTTTTGTCGAACATGAGCGTAAATGTTTTGTCATGATTTCTTCATCGTAAATGATTTGTCGAAACTTCTTCATCGTAATGAGTGTAAATGTTTTGTCAAACATGAGCGTATATGTTTTGTCATGATTTCTTCATCGTAATGAGCGTAAATGACCCAAAAATAATGTTTATGTTAGAATGTTAGATCTAACACCTTTTCTAACATGTTTTCTAACATGGAGGATTTCATTAGATATGCACATTCTTCCTTCATTTCATTCTATACACAATTTACATCATAGACGATTTAATAGATATAATACTTTACTGTTTCATTAGATATACACATTCTTCCTCCATTTCATTCTATACACAATTTACATCATAGACGATTTAATAGATATAATACTTTACTGTTTCATTAGATATACACATTCTTCCTCCATTTCATTCTATACATAATTTACATCATAGACGATTTAATAGATATAATACTTTACTGTTTCATTAGATATACACATTATTTGGTGAAAGTATCCTAAAAATAGTTGATGGACTTTAACTAAAATAATGTTTAGGGAAGAATGTGCATATCTAATGAAATCCTCCATTTCATTCTATACACAATTTACATCATAGACGATTTAATAGATATAATACTTTACTGTTTCATTAGATATACACATTCTTCCTCCATTTCATTCTATACATAATTTACATCATAGACGATTTAATAGATATAATACTTTACTGTTTCATTAGATATACACATTATTTGGTGAAAGTATCCTAAAAATATTTGATGGACTTTAACTAAAATAATGTTTAGGGAAGAATGTGCATATCTAATGAAATCCTCCATGTTAGAAAACATGTTAGAAAACATGTTAGAAAAGGTGTTAGATCTAACATTCTAACATAAACATTATTTTTGGATCATTTACGTTCATGTTTGACAAAGAATATACGTTCATTACGATGAAGAAATCATGACAAAACATATACGAAGAGATTCCGTATGAAAATTCATGAGGGTAGAAATGAGGGTAGAAATGAGGTTAGATCTAACCATCTACCCTAAACATTATTTTTGGATCATTTACGCTCATTACGATGAAGAAGTTTCGACAAATCATTTACGAAGAAATCATGACAAAACATATACGAAGAGATTCCGTATGAAAATTCATGAGGGTAGAAATGAGGGTAGAAATGAGGTTAGATCTAACCATCTACCCTAAACATTATTTTTGGATCATTTACGCTCATTACGATGAAGAAATCATGACAAAACATTTACGATGAAATCATGACAAAACATTTACGTTCATGTTTGACAAAACATATACGAAGAAGTCATGAAAATTCAATGAGGTGAGAAAAGAGGTGAGAAAAGAGGTGAGAAAAGAGGTTAGATCTCACCTCTTCACCTAAAATATATTTTTGTCTGATTTACACTCATTACGATGAAGAAGTCTTGACAAAACATTTACGTTCATTACGATGAAGAAATCATGACAAAACATGTACGTTCATTACGATGAAGAAGTCTTGACAAATCATAAACGAAGAAATCATGACAAAACATTTACGATGAAGAAATCATGACAAAACATGTACGTTCATTACGATGAAGAAGTCTTGACAAAACATGTACGATGAAGTCATGACAAATCATTTACGATGAAATCATGACAAAACATGTACGATGAAATCATGACAAAACATTAACGTAAACATTTATTTCCTGTGATGTTGTCAAAATGTCATGTTGTCACATTTTTCAGAGAAGTTAAATGACCTGGTGACATGGTGACATGGTGACACCTTCAGTTCTTCAAAAATAATTCATAACTGCCTTCCTCCTGTGATGTTGTCAAAATGTCATGTTGTCACATTTTTTCAGAGAAGTTAAATGACCTGGTGACATGGTGACATGGTGACACCTAAAAACCATCTACCCTAAACATTATTTTTGCTGAATTCAGCAACAAAATGAACGAGGTCAGGATGTATGCAAATACCTTTGAATTCATTCATAAGTTCCTTAGTAAGCTCATAAAATGTTTGTTTTGAGGTTGAGCCACTTTTGGCTCGACCGTATTCTTTCAACCAAAACTCAAGAATTTTCCTGTGTGAATTTTGTATAAAAAGCAACCGTCTGAATTCAGGCGGTTGTTATATTCTTCACAAAACATTTACGTTCATTACGATGAAATCATGACAAAACATGTACGATGAAGTTTTGACAAAACATGTACGAAGAAGTCTTGACAAAACATTTACGCTCATTACGATGAAGAAGTCATGACAAAACATATACGATTAAATCATGACAAAACATATACGATTAAATCATGACAAAACATATACGAAGAAGTCTTGACAAAACATATACGATTAAATCATGACAAAACATATACGATTAAATCATGACAAAACATATACGATTAAATCATGACAAAACATATACGAAGAAGTCTTGACAAAACATATACGTTCATTACGAAGAAGTCATGACAAAACATATACGATTAAATCATGACAAAACATATACGATTAAATCATGACAAAACATATACGAAGAAGTCTTGACAAAACATATACGATTAAATCATGACAAAACATATACGAAGAAGTCTTGACAAAACATTTACGATGAAGAAGTCATGACAAAACATATACGATTAAATCATGACAAAACATATACGATTAAATCATGACAAAACATATACGATTAAATCATGACAAAACATATACGAAGAAGTCTTGACAAAACATATACGTTCATTACGAAGAAGTCATGACAAAACATATACGATTAAATCATGACAAAACATATACGATTAAATCATGACAAAACATATACGAAGAAGTCTTGACAAAACATATACGATGAGGTCATGACAAAACATATACGCTCATTACGATGAAGAAGTCTTGACAAAACATTTACGATGAAGAAGTCATGACAATTCATGAGGTGAGAAAAGAGGTGAGATCTCACCTCTTCACCTAAAATATATTTTTGGATCATTTACGCTCATTACGATGAAAAAGTCTTGACAAAACATTTACGATGAAATCATGACAAAACATGTACGATGAAATCATGACAAAACATGTACGATGAAATCATGACAAAACATTTACGATTAAATCATGACAAATCATTTATGTTATACAGTAATGTTAGTCATGAATGTTTGTCCTACGTGTTGGCGTTAGTGTTGAAAAATAATGTTTGTCCTACATGAAGCCGTACAAGCGTTTGAATTTGTTTATGCATAAAATTACACTCTTGTTTTCTGTATCTATCATACAAACATAAGCAGCACCTGTTTTTGTAAAGTTTATATGAAGTTTTCGATAGTTAAGACCTGTATAATAATAGAATGCGTCCTCATTCTCAACATAGTAGTAGAACTCAAACGAATGCTTACCATAATCTGTTATTTCAACAGCTTCGTCAGATATTTCATCAACGAACTCATAAACTATATCGCCATACTTGCTTTTATTTCTATTGTTTTCAGATTTAGAACACCAACGAAGGTTTGAGATTCTGTTGTCCGTTCTATCATGATTTATATGGTCTATTTCTTTCAAATTGTTTGGATTTTCAATCCACTGTTCTGCAATAATTCTATGCTTTAAATGTGTTTTGTTGTTTAAACTAAGCTCAATATAACCATGATTATTTAAGCATTCACTCTTAATATGTTTGTTTTTCTTTCGACGAATAGTAAAAGGATATGTCGTACAAATCTCATAATCTTCATGATTTCTCAATGTTTCCCATTGAGTTTGTTCCCCACTAACGTTCTCATTGACGTCCTCAATATCTTCTTCCTCACTGAACTCGTCAATATTTTCACTAGCTCCTTCTGTAATGTTTTCATCGGCATTGTCATTGACTTCTTCTGTAATGTTAGATGTTGTTGTTTCGCTCATGTTCTTTCACTAATGTTAAAAAGTTATGTTGTACGAATTTTGAACAGAATTTAGAGCAGTTATGAAACAATGAAGTACTTTTACGCTATTGAAAGGAACTATGAGAGTGAAGTACATGACAGCAATGACAAAAGGAACTAATATCAAACCTAATGAAATCGCTCACGAGGACATAGAGCTTAACAAGTACTTTGTGGAGTATCTTATAAGTGAAGAGTATGTAAGACCTTACTTCATGTTTGACAGCATGAATGAGGATGTTATTTCATGGTTAAAGAATATAAGCAATGTTTTCGGTAAGTACGTCATAGATGACAAAGGTCTTGTTGTATTTTATGAGACAGCAATACGAACACAGGAACTAATGGATATTATGCACTCAACAGCAAAGAAAGGATTTAGTACTATTGGCATGAATGAACATTGCAGGAATGACATATACAACCTATGCTCACGAAAGCCTTACACAAAAGCAATACAAATGATAGAACATAAGTGTCTAAGGTCAGCAAATGAAATCATTACTGTCAGTGGTTATGAAAGAACTGTTAGCAAAGATGAGTGGAAACAGCTATTCATATTAAGGAAGGACGTTGCTGAACTAGTTAAACCTGTTGCACAAACATTGTTTCAGATAAGACCAGCAATGACTAAGAACCCTTTGACCTTAGTCAATGAGACCATAGAGGTTGAAGATAATGACATGAAAGAACTAGGAATGAATGAGAGAAGTTGTGAAGGATGTTTGAGTCAAAACACATGGTTCTTCAGAGCTGTTAAGAAACTTAGTAAAGAACGACAGAAATATTTTATAGAGAAGTATTGCAAAGGATGTGTAAATGAATTGCTTGAAATAGAACTTAGAGACACTTTCACACTAAAGGACTTGAGGAAGAAATAAGTACATGAGTGAGGACGGTATTGACATAGCTAGTGTTATAAATGACTTAAGAAGATGTGTTGTTGTTATTGACGGAGCACGTATGACATATCTAGTGAAAGATTATGATGGAATACGAGACACAACAACACTTGTGTCAGTAGATAGCAAGGAATTCAATAAGCTCATGAAGAGTATTTATGTAGGACGTATTGAGGAGAAGGATGTGAACGCACTGATGATTTATGAAGCGGGTCAGAACAAGAACTATCTTATGAAGTCAGGCATGAGATTCTTTGACGAAAGAGATGACATTTACAGCTATTTCAGAGGATATGAGTATGAGGTACTGAATGAAGTAGATGAGAACGTTATTGAAGGATATTTGAAACATGTTCACGATGTCATATGTAATGAGGATGAAGAGCTTTATGAGTATGTTTTGAACTGGTTCGCCTACATCGTTCAAAATCCTTGTGGAAAGACTGGAACAGTACTTTTGTTAATAGGAAAGCAAGGAACTGGTAAGAATGTACTTAGTAATGTTCTATGCGAGCTCATTAGCAAGTACGCCAACAATAATATAACGGCAATAGAGAATGTGGTTGGTAGATTCAATGCTGCTATTGAGAACATGAAGCTCATCGTATGCAATGAACTAAGCTCATGCGATACGTCTAAGGTCATGAACCACGACGCACTAAAGTCAATAGTAACAGAGACTCAGTTGGACTTAAATCAGAAGTGTCAGCCAGTAAGAAAGATAGAGAATGTTTGTAATATCATCATGATATCTAACAACTTCAACTCAGTAAAGATTGACAAAGACGACAGAAGATTTGTTGTCATTGACGTAAGCAGCAGATACAAAGGAAATTACGAATATTTCTCAAATCTCATTGAAAGCTTTAATGAAGAGTTTTATTCAAACTTACTGACGTACTTCATGAAGAAAGATTTAAGTGAATTTGATGTAAGGAAGATACCATTCACCAGGGCTAAACAAGAACTCATCGAAATGAACAAAACACCTTACCAAATGTTTTACGAGGAGTTCTATGAAAAGTTTGTATCCGGATGGAATTGTACAGAGTGCTACAGAAGATATAAAGAATTTGCGAAGGAGAATGAATTCTTTGCATGTAGTTCAAATGTATTTGGTGGCAAGATGAGAGAATTTGTGAAGAGAAGTAGAAAGCGAGACGGTTCTGCAAGAAGTTATATTTACGAAGCAAGTATGATATTAGAAGGTCGTGGAAAGAAAGAAACAGTGAATTATGAGGAAGTGCTTGAAAAATTCATGGAGTACATGGGAAGCAATATAACATACAACAAAGACATATACAGTGAGTTTAAGTACTACTGTGAACAGCATGAGATTGAAGTAATGAGTAAAGGAGACTTTGAAACGCTTATGAAAGACAGTGAGGAGGTCATACATGAGAACAGTGATGAAATAGTTCATGAGAACAGTGAGGAGGTCATACATGAGAACAGTGATGAAATAGTTCATGAGAACAGTGAGGAGGTCATACATGAGAACAGTGATGAAATAGTTCATGATGTCGTTCGTGAAGAAGCCATTGCAACAAAGAATGAGATAAAGGATTTCATAGAACTTAACAAGGAGGAGTTTAAAGAAGGCTATGAAGTGAAAAGATGTGAAGAAGATTTCTTGGCGTATTTGAAGAAAAAGAGACTAAAGCCAATGGCTCAAAATAAGTTTCAATCGATGTTTGAAAAGAAACGTTTGAGCTATGGTGGTGTAAGAAGCACATATTACTTTGTTAAGAAGTGAGGACATTTATTTTTGTCGTTAGTGTTGGAGTTAGTACTTGTTGTTAGTGTTTGTCATTTGTGCTGAAGTTAGTACTTGGTGTTAGTGTTGGAGTTTGTGTTTGTTGTTAGTGAGAGAATAAATTAAATCATGAACTTTGCCATGGTCTCTGTCCCTAGTAGTTTTCATTAAGTTCTGGAAATAATGAAAGTCATAAACTTTGCCATGGTCTCTGTCCCTAGTAGTTTTCATTATCTCACAGAGTTAATGAAAGTCATACTTTCTATCAGATGAAGCATGCAGATGAACATAACGAAAGTTAGTGAGTTTGCCACGAGTTATGAATAAAATATTGGCATATTAGATGAGATAGCTGATGAAACAGATGAAGATAAATTAAATCTTGGACTTTGCCACACTCTGTCCCTAGTTCCTCAAAATCCTTGACAACGTTGCTTAGAAATTTTGGTTCAAAACCTCATCTGATTTTAATCTGTTATGCTACCTGTTAAGTTTCGCGAGATTATAAATGTCATGGAGTTATATAAAAAGGAGGGACAGCTAGGGACACTGGAAGTACTTGTAAGGCTATCTGTTAAGATTGCATGAAATACTAAAAAGTCATGAAATCCATTATCGCTGTGCTAGCTTCACCTTTGATTGAAATGACAAATAAAGTCACTGAAGCAATGAAACAAAAGTTTTTGGTAGAATACATTAAATCAGGAATTATTCCAGAAGGTTTTTATATTCATACTATGAAGGATGGTAGAGTTCAGTTTAGAAAGATAAAGCAACCATTAGATAGAGAAGGTATATTAAGGAAGATTAAACTTCATGAGGACAACATTGGTGAACTTAGGAAGAAGTTAGAAGAGTTGGAGAAAGCAGACGACAGTGAGGAATAAAGCAATGAATTCAACAGGGTAGAAATGAGGGTAGAAATGAGGTTAGATCTAACCATCTACCCTAAACATTATTTTTGTGCTATGTTTTCATACGTGTGAGGGTGGTGATATCATTATTTTTAAGTTTATTTTTATATAAATGACGAAAACTATTGAGATAACAAACTACAACGGTCATGAGTTCAAGAATTTGTTCTTCGTTCCTCGTGAAAATACATTCTATCAGATACGAGGGAGAAAGGGTAAAGTTAGTTTGAGCGTTTATGAAGGAATGAAGAATGGAAAGTTTATACAAGCATACGATACAAACGGTAAACGTGTTTCATTAGCTTTGTCAAAACTTACTAACATTTATTTTGACAGTGATTTTGACCTATATGAAGAAGAAAGTGAGTCAGAAGATTATGAGCTGTTATGTGAAGCACAGCAATGGGAGGAGTTGCAATACTTTTGTAAGTGAGAACGTTTATTTTTACATTAATGAAGTCATTAGTGGTTGGCGGTTTGTAAATATTTAAGGTTAAGTTAGTGTTGTCGTTTGTGTTGTAAAATATACGTTACTGGTTTTGTAAATATTTAAGGTTAAGTGGTGTACGGAGGCGCGCAGTGCCTCAGTACACGACTTAGCCATACTAACTAACAAAGGGTGGAAGCCTATAAAAATTTATGTCAATGATGGCTCAGGAGGTTCAAACATAAAGTATGCAGAAAGTTATAGAGTCTATGCTCTCAAAGGTGAAAAGCCTTCATTTAAGAACAGCTATTCTAACACATATCCTCAAAAGCTAACGGATGGGGAAGTGGATGATATGAATGACAGCAAAAATATTAACAGAAATGGCGACAGAGATGCATGGAATTTGTTTACCATCAGTCAATTGAAGGTTAAACTTTAAAACAATGTTGGTCGTTCCCATGGAATATTTTTGACTTTAATGGTATTAGTCATGATATGAATCTCAAGGTATGAACGAGGAGAGATGAGAGACTTATATGCTTCCCAAATTTCTTCAAAAGGTAATGTTATACCTGACTGTTTCCAAATTAGTTCAATATCATAGCGTGAGAAACCTTGAAAGATAACGAAGTCAGTTATGAGACGTTTTATGTTTAAAGCAAGAAAACGCCATGTTTGCATAAGTATTGCTACAGTTAAGTGGTAATGTCTGACTTTAGTAATGATGTTAGCTAATGGTGAGTCTGGTTTTGACACTAAACCTTTTCCGGCGAAGTCGTCACAAACGAGCAGAGTGTTTGAATGATACTTTTTGAAGGGGTATTTTGAAAGTTTTGACAGAATGTAGTTTGTCAGTCGTTTCATATCGTAAACTCCTGAGTATTGACGTAAGTGGTGTTTGTCAATAATTCTTTCCATCTCCTCAGAAGTCTTTTGCATTCCTGACTGTATGAACTCTACGATGGCATAATATTTTCTCTTACGTCGAATGTAACGTTGAAGAAATTCAATGAGTTCACTGTCTGGAACTTTAACGACAGAGGCTTGAACTTTTGACATGAATGTTTTCGCTGTTGAGTCCATAGAGTCTGAAGTTGCTGATATAATGATTTGGTCATAGTAAGAGTCGTTTCCTAAACGCTCTGTTATGAGTATATGACGAATTAAATTAAATGTCTTACCTGAACCCATCTTTCCACAATAGAAATAAACACCATTTGAACAGAATTCATAATCTTTGCTGAAAGGAAGAATAAGAGAAGAGTTAAGTTTGTCTGTAGTTTCATTCATGTCTTCATCTACATCATGTATTAAATGCTTCATTTTATCTCCATTAAAAATGCAAGTCAGAAATATTCAGAACATAGCACCGAGTCTAACTGACAAGAGTATAAAGATATACTATGAACATGTTATGATGAAACCAACCAAAATTCAAGAAAGTCAGTATACTTATGAATATCCAAGACACTGGGTAGAGTATGTAGGAGGTGAGAAAGCTATTGAAATCAGACAGGTTCGAAGTATTCCAGCAGGAAGAACAATATTATTGAAGAACTTTGATGTTTTGAGATATAATGATGAAACAAAGAAGCAAGATAGTTTCCCTGTTGCTGTGTATGTGAACCTAGACACAGGAGATGACATGAAAGTTTTTAACACAAAGCTTCAAATGGTAGTGAGAGAACAACTGACTGCGGAAGGGCATCCATTACCTTCAGAAGTTACCATAGCATATAATTTTGAAACAAACTCAATAGATTTTAAAGTCATCTCTGCAAAGAAGTCAGGTTTTACATTTAATGAAGCAGATGTATATTCGAATGAAAACTTCAAAGCTATTGCATGGTTAGATAATGACGATTGCTTTAAGAAAATCTTTAAATTCAGTGACTCAAAGATGTCAATAGATGACCTTCGTGGAATGTTACCATCGACGTTTACAGTAGAAGGTTCAGCAGGATTGCTTACAAGATTGTCAATTGGTGGTATTTGGTCTCGTGAGAACATTGTTATAAAATCCAGTATAAGTGAATTTGCTGAAGAATCTATATTATGTCTTTCAAACTATATGTATTCGCCACCGAAGCATTATAGTATAACAAACTTTGTCAGTAAGTTTAACATAAGACTTGTCGAACCTTCTTCAATGAAAGATGTTGTGCTACCTAAAGACGGAAAGGATGGACTCATTATTGAGATGATTTTAATAGCATATTAAATGAGCTTGTTCTTGAAGGTCATTCATGATGAAATAACTGTTGTAGAAGATGTTAGCAATTGTTCAGACATTTTGAAGCGTATAGATGAGATAAGAAAGAAGTTAGATAGACCGCAAAGCGGTGAGGGCGAAGCCAGTGAGAACGCTTATGTTTCATTGACTTTCTCCAGTAACGAGAACTTTTATGAGATAATATTGAAGAGAGATGATTTTAATATGGGGTAAATGGTAGCTTGGGCAGCTTTAGGCGCAATGGGAACAAAAGCATTAGCATTTGGAGCAAAAGCACTTGGAGCTTATGACGCAGTAAATAAAATGAGTGAAGGAAGGGTTTCAAAGACATTAGATGCAAATAAAGGAAAGATTGGAGGCTGGGTTGCAAAGAAGTTAAGATTAAATAAAATAGGGCTCATAAATAAAGCATCCAATTTGGTTGCGACTGAGTCAGAAAATGCTTTAGGAAAGGACGATGAGTTTGCAAAACACGCAAAAGGCTTTAATGACCAGATGAAAGGTGAAACAATGCATTTAAATAGAGTCGATGGAACTAAAGAAAATGTTTCTTCTCCACCAGTGGTTTATCCATACGGACCTTATGGAATGTATGGAAACCCTTATGAACGACCATTTGACCCATTGACTGGTGGAAGTAATTGGTATCATTATGGACGAAGAAGAAAGACAGTCAAGTTGGAGACAGACGTGAAGAAAGCAACTAAAAAGAAACCAAGGAAGAGAGTTATAAAGCAATGAATTCAACAGGGTAGAAAACCGGGTGAAAAAAGAGGTGAGATCTCACCACTTCACCTAAATTTATTTTTGTGCTATGTTTTCATACGTGTGGGAGTGGTGATATCATTAATTTTTAAGTTTATTTTTAAGTTTATTTTTATATAAATGACAGAACAAAAATAAAGCATATCTACTCAACAGGAATGAGACCCTTACTGACTATGTATTCGTTTAATGCTTGATGAAAACAATGGTACATATTATCGTATGGGTATACACAACGTCTGTTTCCATCGTCGTCGTATATGTAGAGCTCAAATCCAGTCCAACCTTCTTTTGTACAATATGTAGCTTTATTTAAGTATGCATTTATGTAGATAAGGCAATTTTCTTCATCGCTCCAGAAATAATTTTTGTTCTTTGTTGAAATAGTTTTCGTTCCTCTGCGACCATAAGGAATGTATGCAATGAACTTTGCGTCATAAGGGATTGTAATATATTCAGGGTTTCTTTCATCGTCAATGGGTCTGTCTTTGTTAAAATGCATGTTTCTCAGTTTTACTTGAGTTTTGAATAGTTCACGGAAACGTTCTGGGAAAGAGTCATAGTAAATGTAGTCAGACATGTCTTTGTAATGAAATAAAAAATTAAAAAAAATAAAAATAAGGTTATTTTTTATTTAGTGAGGACGGTAGTGAATTCGTTAGTGAAGTCGTTAGTGAAGTCATTAGTGAAGTCGTTTATGTGTCAGATGGTTTTGTAAATATTTAAGGTTAAGTTGGTGTTATGGTTGTATTGTAAAATATACGTTACCGGTTTTGTAAAGTGTCAAACCGTTAACTTGGGTAAGGTGGAACGCAGTGCCACAGTACCCAAGTTAGGGATACTAACTAATACTGAAAAATTCTACATTTGAATTATTTATAATTGTATAATGAGTGTCTTTGACATTAATGAACAAACCTTTTTGTTTTAACAATATTGCTAACTCATTAGCGGAATATCTTTTTCTGTCAATAATAATTGCTAAAGGTTTTACGTATTGACCAAATTTAGATTCTTTCAAGAATTTTTTATTAAATATAACATTAACATTTATTGCTTTATTAAATTCATTTTTGATAGAAGTAGCGAAGGAATTATATGAATAGAATTTGCTGTTTTGCATATTTCTTTTATACAAAATAAAAAATAAATAAATTAAAAATTAAACTTAATTTTTTAAATTTAATTTATTTTTATTTTTATAAAAGGGATGTATAAGAAGTTGTCAAACAAGCTTCAACATTCTGAAATAAAACAGCTTCTAAATGAAGCCCAGGATGTAGCAAAGCATTACGCAACAAACAAGAAAACATTAGCGGATTTCATAAAAGACTACAATGGTACAATTAATTTCAAAAGAATTCGGGAATACATTCATACAAAAACATTTCCAATGCAGAATATGGAAGTTGGTTTATATAAAACACAACAGGTTCCTCATGAAGTTCGTAGAGAAATGTATGAAATTACGAATTCAAACATTGGTGAAACAAGAACAAGAGATGAAAACTTAAAACAACAAAGAAGAGAAATGTTTAAAAGTGGAATAGAACAATTACGTAAAGCAAATGACGTTATACGTTCAATAAACAACAAACCAAATGAAGGAGAAAAATGGTTAAAGAAAGATGAAATAAATAAAAAGAAAAATGTTAAATCTGGAAATAGAGTTATTGAATTTAATATTGAAGAATTAGATGAACAAAATAGAGACTATTTACATAAACATTTTGGTAAATTTTTCATGAAACTTTTAGATAAAATTAAAATTAATTCTTCGCAAAGATGGATGGTATGTTATTTACTTGGTGGAAAGTATGAATGTTCTACATTAAACATTAGAAACATTGGTACATTACTGCACCAACTTAAATCAGAAAATTTCATACAAGCGAAGGAGGCGGAGACGGCAGGAATTTTAGAATTACATTATGACTTTTTCTTAACTCATATTCGAAATCTAAGTGAAATAAAAATGTACGATTTAACAGAATATGAAGGTTTAACAATGAATGACATTAAAAAGGGAACTCCAAAAGCAAGAAAAGCAAGGGATGAAAGCGAATTGTCAGAAAGGCAACAAAAAATTTTAAATGCAATAAAACAAACAGGAGATGAAGATGCAATAGACAGTTTCTGGCAAGAACATTACGGAAACAAAAAATTATATAAGAAACGCAGTGGACAATTTTGGAAATATATTTGCACATTACCAATAAATTTAGAAAGATATCAAATATTTAATGAATTAGATATAAGAACTGCCAAATTAATGACAGAAGACAATTGTTTCGTTTATGCTTGCATAAAAGCAGGAGTTGAAGAAGAAATTATTGACCACATGAGAGAAATAATTCGTACTAGAGATTTTCCACAAAATAAATTACAGGAAATTTCTGACGCAACAAATTTAGAATTTCATATAAAAGTTGGTTATTTCACCGAATCTAAAAATAATAAAACAATAACACATACGCCAGCAAATGGTGAAATAAAACAAACCATTGAACTACTTTTAGTAGACGACCATTACATGTTAAATGAAAGGTTACCAATGACAACTTATTTCATTAAAAATTATAAAGAAATTCTTAAAGTTTGTGGAGGATGGAATATTGAAAAACAAATGAAAATATACAAGAAAAGAGAAAATAAATTCGTTATTGACAATTCAAGAACAACTCCTTTGTGGGATATTTTGAAAACATTATGGAATTGCAATTATTTTGAACCAATTTCATATGGAGAACTTTTCACATATTCTACGGATTTATACAAACAAGATTTAGCACCATTTACGGATTTAACATACTCGCCCAAATACTGTGTTCCATTGAAAAAGAAAACAGAAAGCAAAGATACAAACGAAGCAAACCATAAATTTATTTACGAACACGTTTTCTTTGCTGACTTTGAATGTTCTACAGATGGAATACATAAAGCATTTAACATTTGTTATGACAGTGAAGATGGTAAAATAAGTGAAAGCATTTGGGGTCAAAATTGTGCAACAGAATTTTTGGAAAAACTTCCTGACAAAAGTTTAGTTTATTTTCATAACCTCAGTTATGACATTAATTTTATTTTAAAGCATTTGACAGAAGTTAAAGGAACTCCAATTATTAAAGGTTCAAGAACAATGCAAATAACTGGTATTTATAAAGGAAAAGTAATAATAATAAAAGACTCCTACACAGTTATTAGTACAAAATTAAAGAAATTCCCAGAAATGTTTAAATTAGAATGTGGTGCGAAAGAAGTATTTCCATACAATTATTATACAAGTTCTTTATTAATAAATGACAACGGAACTGGTGTCATTTCTGAAGCATGTAAATTTGTCAAAGATGTTGAAACATTCATGAAAAACATTAATTTAATTGAAGGTTGTAGAATTGACGAAAACCATTTTGATTTAGAAAAATACAGCACATTCTATTGTAAACAAGATGTAAGAATTTTAAGAGAAGGTTTTGTTAAATTTAGAAATGACATATTGAAAGAGTTCGATTTAAACGTTTATGACTACGTTAGTATTTGTTCTATTGCTAACAAACTATTTGAGAACAGAGTTTATTTCCCGAATGGAAATCTTTATGACCTTTCAAACAAACCAAGAGAATTTATTTCGAGATGCATTCAAGGAGGAAGATGTATGTTGGCGGACAATAAAAAACAAAAGAGCGAAGAGAAACTCATTGCTGACTTCGACGCTGTTTCATTATATCCTTCAGCTATAGCAAGACTTTATACTTTAGAAGGTATACCAAAAGTTTTGAAGGAAGAGATGTTAAGCTCAGAATATTTATTAAAACATTTATTCGACGACGACCAAAAAGAACCATGTGGTGAAAAGTTTATTTCGGGATTTTATGTTTTAATAAAAATTACAGAGATTAGAATTCATAGACACTTTCCATTAATTGTATGCGACCCTAAATTAAATCCAGAATTAAATGTACCAAGAAGTTCAAATACAAAATGTTTAATGTATGCAGACCATATTACATTACAAGATTTAATTAAATACCAAAAAATTAAATGTGAAATTTTACAAGGATATTATTACGATGAAAAAAGAGATTTAAAAATAAGAGATGAAGTACAAAAATTATTCCAGTTAAGATTAAAGTATAAGAAAGAAGAAAATCCATTGCAAGAAATTATTAAATTAATTTTGAACAGTATTTATGGAAAAACTATTTTATCTCCTATTGAGTCAAAAATAACCATAGTAGACGACAAAGACGCTGTTAGGTATGCAATTAGAAATTACAACCACATTGTAAAATTTGAAGGCTTAGATGGTTCAGATAAAACAATTTTCAAAACAACAAAAAGCATTTGCAGACACTTTAACTTCTGTCCACTTGGTGTTAACATTCTGTCAATGTCAAAGAGAATAATGAATGAAGTATTTTGTACTGCAGAAGACATGGGATTGGAGATATTCCAAAGCTTGCAGCAGAATTTCAGAAAAGATATGGTAGAGTTCTTATTGGAAAGAACCTTGGTCAATTTCATTCCGACTTCGCTGAAATAACAAAAGATATACAAAGTCTTGCATATAAGAGCATTTTCTGTGGAAAGAAGACTTACATTGACTTACTCATTAATGATTTGAATGAAATTGCTTTTCATGCACGTTGCAAAGGAGTTCGCAGCGATGTTATTTCAATAACTGCTAATGAAATGTTTCCTAACGCTGTACAATGTTATTTCGACGAAGAAAAGAATTTACATATTCCTGTTGGAAAATATGACAAAGACTCTGAATTCAGTATTTTGAAATTATATGAAGCACTTTATGACGAAGAAGAGATAGCATTTGATTTATGCAAATCTTCTACTCCTTGTTTTGAAAAAAAGTTCAACTTTTCAATAACGAGCAAAGCTTCATTTATTAGAAAAATAAAATTTTAATTTATTTATTTTATTTTTGTTCTTCTTTAGCTTTTTGTTCTTCCTTTGCTTTTGCTTCTGCTTCTTCTCTAGCTCTTTTCGCCTGCCATCTCGGGTTCTTCTGACGTCCAGCAGCTAATGCGGCTAATTGTTTTTCAGTAAGTTTTCTTTTTGGTTTTGGCGGTTTTCTTCTGGTTTTGGTTGCTTTAATTCAGTTAATATTTGTTCTCTAATTTCTTTCTTCAAAGCTTCAACGTCTAATGTTTGACTCATTTGTAAATGGATAAAAATTTAATTTCAAAAATTTATCCGATGTAAAATAAATGAGTTTGTCAAAGTCTGAAAGAGAGTCCATTATACTAAACGACGCAAGAGGAATACAACATCCGTTCTATTACGTAACTCAAAGCAAAGATGGTAAAATATATGTTAGAAAAAGAAAAGTGCCATTAGAAAATAAAGAATCTGACAATATTAATATAAAACCTCAAGATGAAAAACCAAAAGAAGTTGAAGAAAAAAACCAGATATTCTTTCTATTTCTAACCAAGAACTTATTGCTAAGTTTGTAAATTTCATTGAAAAACAAACTGAGTCCAAAAATCCAGACCCACCATTAAAAGAAATGGAAACAAAAGAAAATGTTGAATTTGTTGAAAACATTAAACAACAACTTCCTCCACATTACCCTAGAAGAAGAGCGAGAATACTGTATTAATAAGATATTTTTATCCGAAATAAAGTCATGCAAAACGAACAATTGAATGAATTTACTCCTTCGGAGCACATCCATCAAATACGTTCATATTTTGATATTATAGACAATGCAGTTCAAGTTGGAGATACAAATAGAAAATATTCTGACGCAAAAATCCCATCACAACCCGGAAACTGTAAAGAAAATAATTACGTAACGTTTAATTTATCTCCACCTGGTGAAAATATTTTAGACCTTTATAATACATACATTACATATAAAATGGTTAGAAAATTTAATGATTCAACAGCTATTGGTGCGGCAGCAGATGGAACAAATGCACCTGGTTTTTGGATTGGTTTTGATGACGCATATTATGCAGTTGCTGCATACCAACTTCTAGCAAATGGTCGTATTATTTATTCTCAAGACAATGCAAGAGAAGAAGCATATATTACATCAAATTCGCAAACTACTGAACAAATTAAGAAAGTGGATGTTTTCTCAAAGACTCGACATGAAGATGTTTGGAGCCATTCGGGAACTTGCAGAACTGGTCAAATTGTGTCAGGAGCTGTTGCCGCTGGTGGTAGTATTGATGTTAACCTTACAATACGAATTCCTGTTAGAAAGTTTTTACCATTAGAAGCTATTAGATTTATTCCTGCATTTGCTGGCAACATTCAATTAAAAGTTAAGTTTAGTAGCGACGCATTACAATGCACTTCGATATCCGTAAATGACTTAATTGGATTCAACCCTGCATTGCAGGTTAAATGGAAAAAAGATTCTAATCCGCCGACAAATAAATTTGTTCCATGGAGTGAAGCATTTACAATAATATCTGAAGTAGCAGTGGATGACGAAGTAGCAACTATTACAACAGCAAGTCAAACATTAGTTAGAACAGAAATGGAATTCGCAAATTGTTTCATTCATACTAAGTCATTTTCTTTAGACCCTAATATTTATACAGAGTTGGTAGAACATTATACTGGCGAAGCACTATGTTTCCCTGTTAAAGTTATGGATTGGATACCAATGGACAGTTCATTTTCAAAAAGCGAAGGAGCTACAACAACTAGTGCAACATTTACAGCTGCATATACTCCCATTAATGTTAAAAGTATTTGGACATTATTTAGAAAGCAAGACAATTATTTAGTTAATTTCGAAAATCCAAAATTTGAATATATTCAACTTAGTATGGGAGCTTATGGAAGTATGCCCGCAGAACCTGAGACATCATATGGACCAGTATTTTATGAAATGGTTGCTAACGCATGCAATACAAATAACGATATGATTGGATTTAATGAAGATGTTATGAGGTCAATAGTAGATGACGGTAAAGTTAAACATATATACGACAGTTATGACAATACGCATTTCTTATGTGGTTTCCCAACTGAGGTGGACTTTTGTTTCCAGCAAGGTCAAGCATCTACCGCACCCATTACATATAAATTAACGGTTCAAGGACCCATAGCCATTGCCAAAGAATATGGTGTTAAACCATTACTAGGATTTATGAGAGACTGTTGTTTTGCCATTCAAGTAAGACCAAATGGAATTCCAATAATAAGATTAGATGACTATTTGTTAGCAGCTGAGGACCTTGAAGAATAAAAATTATAAAATTTATTTTTTCATTGAATGAGTGAAATATGTTATAAAATTCATGAAATAAAATAATTTTTAAAATTTGTTTTTGGAGGTTATGAAAAAAATTTTTGTAGGTCATTGACTGACTGACTGACCGTAGTTGTTTTGTAAAGTTGTGAAAAATATAGGTTTTGACATTTATACTTTACGTGTCATATAAAATACGTTATTAAAATAAATTTGTTTCGTAAATGCTTTATTTGTCAAAACGGTTATTGTAAAGTGTCAAAACGGTTATTGTAAAGTGTCAAAACGGTTGTGACGGTTAGGGTGGGGCGTAGACCAGCCCTACCGCACAAACGTATACTAACTTTATCAAAGAAGAAGAAGAGGAAGAAGAGGAAGAAGAGAAACACGAAGAAGAGGAAGTTTGGGCAACCCTTGTTGCCGATGACGGTTACGAAATTTCCCAACCCTACCCATACCAAATCCGCAACAAGGAGACAGGCAAGGTTCTTACCCCAGTCCTCAACAACTTGGGACACTTGAACCTTAACCTTCGGAATCGCGGTTCAATCTCCATGGGCAAGCTTGTCGCAATTCAATGGGTTCCAAATCCAGACAAGAAGACGAAGGTCAGACACATTGACGGTGACAAGCTCAACAACCGTAAGGAGAACCTCGAGTGGTTCTAAGAGTAAAAAAATTATTTTAGGGGGAAACCCCAAGTAAATTTAAGTTTTTATTTTTGGTATTGGTACCAATTTTGGAATGTGAAGACCACATCCCAACCTCTGTACGTGAGTCTTGGGTCCACGTCTAAGACCCTTCTGTAGCAATTCCAAGCCCGAGCAAATTCAATTGTCAACCACTCGTCTCCTCTGTAGTCTTCAATCCATTCTTTGAAGAGACGGTTGAGTTCGAGCCTGGAATATCTCTTGCCTGGGTCCGAGACCAACATTTGGTTGAACTGGACGAAGCGCTCAGGGATGTACGCCATTAAAAAAATGTCACTTTTTTGGAAAACGTTTTTACTTCATGCAATGTTTAACTATTTCACCATCTTCTTTAACACCCCCAGTACTTACGCTTGGAGAGGACATGAACTTCGGTGAAAATTTTGTCCAATTTGAATTGACCCATCTTTTCACCGACCATACCCATTTCAATGAGTTTGTTGTATCCTTCTTCGTTCGTCATGAGTGCGTCAATGTTCTCATAGTAAACCTTGACTTTCGATTTGACTTCCGAGAAGAACTCATTGTAGTTGTCAAGGACTGCCTTTGCGAACTGAGGGTAAGACCAATGTTCGACAATAGGTTTTAATGTGGTTACTAAGCCACTTTGACCTTGAGTGAATTCGTACTTCAAAACAAAAGGAGAAAACCTTTCAACAAAGTTGTCGACCTTCTCATAATGTTTACTCTTCATCTCTTGAGGTTTCTTAATGGAATATCCCCATGTCGAATTCATAAGCAATTTGAGTGCCATTGCAAGTTTGTGGTTTGAAGCTTTCCTAATATCATACAGTTGTTGTATGACTTTTCCAACTGTATAGTTCCTTCCCGGGAACTCACCATCTTCGTTTGGAATTCCAGTCGGAATATATTGGACAAACCTCATGTACGCAGCGTTAAGGTCGACATAGTATATCTTTTCGTTTGAGTCGAACTTGTCGCAACCAATTGGTCCAGTTTGTGGAAATTCAAGTGAGTCTCTTATCTTCTGAGAAACTTCTCCTGTTATCTCATAAACATCGTCGAAGCAACCTGTTTCATATAAAACCTTCTGACCTAACTCAGATGCTCTCCAATACAATTTGACGTCAATTGGATGTCTCAATGGAAGTTTGTTTATAGCATCTTGAAGTTCTTGCAACCTCATTGGAAGTTCTTCTGGTTCAGGTTGGTATCCGAACAAACCAACTCCTTGTGGAACTGTGTACTTCTTTTGTACTAGAACTTTGTCTGGAACAACTTTTGGTCTTGCTAACAATGAAAAGTTTGTTTCGTCTTTTGGTACAAAACTTTCTGTAAGCTTGTCATCTGGAATTGGTTCCAACAAACCTTTCTCGAAAAGAATGTTTACAGCTCTGACAATGTTGCACTTACTTTTACCAAAGAATGGGTTTGTAAGACTTTCGTTCAACATGAAGTGGTTGTGGACAATTACAATCTTCAACCATGGTAAGTCTTTGTCAACAACATAGTCGTCATGTGAAGAACCTTTCTCAGTCGGAATGTTGACTCGGATATTGACATTTGCCAACGGTGCAATTTTTGCCAATTGACCTCTGAGAATGTACCTTGTCTTCACACATGACTCAAGATACTTCATCTTCTCATCTGTAACAAGACCAGAGTCCCTGAGACATGTAAGAATGCAAGGTTCGTTGACAATTGTTTCAATTGAATTGTAAATTCCATACCTTGTCAAGTCAATGTCAGACTTATTTATGAACGGGAAGTATCCAGCATGTTGTCTGACTGCTTGAGGGTTAGGTTGGTACCATTCGAACTTGACACTTGCAATTCCTTCAATTGCATTCAAAATGTCTGAGTCGGAGTCTCCCATCGTTTCTCTCTTTGAAGTTTTGAAAGCGTCAAGAAGCATTGCAGCTGTTGTGACATTGCCATGTGCATAGTAAATGTGACCATCCAAATCTGTTATGGTCAATCTGAGATTGTGTCCTTTCTTATTTCCGTCTTGAATTGCAGCAAGTACTCCCATGAAGCCTTCTTTGTTCTTTCCTTCGTCAAAGTTTACTGTAAAGGTTCGACCAGATGTAATTTGACTTCTAACTTCACGATACTTTTCATATGCATATCTTGTTCTTTCCATGGGAGCATGTGCGTCTTCACCTTTTCCTTTTTTCCTTCTCAAAGGATGCAATTGTTCGTCATGTTTCCAGTAGAATCTGGCAAAGCCGTCGTGTCCTTCAACTTGAGGTTCACTAACATCGAAAGGCATGTCCATAAGACGTTCTTCTTCTAACCTCTCTAGTCTGTTTGGATAATTGGCACGTGCTGTTTCCAAATCCATTTCGTAGCGAAGACCAGACAATTTGTCATAGACTTTTATGGGTCTTCCCTTCCTATATTTAAAATTCTTCGAAACTCTCCAACCATATCTTTGTAACTCTGCTTTTATTCTAGCAGACTTTCTGTCCATTCTATATGGGGGCATTTTTATAAAAATAATTTTTTTTTCTTTACTTTACATAACCGCCTGCTGTCATAAGTCTTTGACGCCAACCCATACCAGCTAATGAAGGTTGACTTGGTTTAGTTTGGAAACTAAACTTTGGTTTTGGTTTATCTTCAGTTTTTGGTTTTTCTTCTTCTATCGGTTTTTCGTCACTTTTCGGTTCCTCTGACTTTACTTCACTTGCAGGAACAGTTGTGTCGTCAACATCTTCATAAATATCATATGCCATTTGTTTTTGTTTTCCTTTCAACTTTTTGTGTTTGTTGTAAAGTTTAGAATATTTCGACTCTAAGTCAATGAGATGTTCTATAATGAACTGTTGGTCAGTGAAGTAAACTTTTCCATCTGTTGTCTCGAAAGCTCCTTCAGACTTCAATATTTTATTTGTGAGAATCTGTTTCTTTTTTGAGATACTAGCCGTTCCATTTCTATGAAAAGTGACTTTATAGTTAGGGTTTGTATTTCCAGACCTGGCACTTTCTATTATTGAGTTTTTCTCTTCATCTGTAAGTTCTTTGACAGGTTTTGACAATGGTTCTGAACTTTTTGTTTGTGGTGTCAAATCTACCGTTTCAACTTCTTCGGTCATTTCATCTCAGTAAAAAATTTTAATTTGGTTTGTTTTCAACTGGTTGTTTAGGTTTTTTAAGTCGGTCTAAAACTTCCTGAGGTATAGGAAGAACTTTACAAACACGTGGTGTAAAAGGTGGTCTTCCATGACTTATTCTGTTTAAAGCTGCATTGTTCATTTCATCCTAGTTAAAAACCTTACATTCTCCAAGTTTGAGGTGGTTGCGGTTGGTTATTGCTTACCCATTGTTGTGCATGGTTATATCCTCTGTTAAAGAATCTTTCACCTTGGTCCATATAGTGTCCTGCTTGGTTATAGTAGTCATTTGCTTTGTTATAATAGTTTCCTGCTTGTCTTCCTACATTGTCCATCCATCCTTGAACTTTTCCTCTTGTTTCAGGATTTGGAATAAGATTTGTTGCATCTCGTGCTACATCCCAACCTTTCTGTACAGTTTGTATAATAGGCTGAGCTTTGTCTTTCAGTATACCTAATGTACTCAAAATCTTCCTTCCAATTCCAAATGCACCTCTGGCTATTGTTCCCACTGCGGGTAAAAATCTAGATGCGACTCCTGCTAATGCGCCAAATAAACCCATTTCTTATAGGGTAAAAAATGACGAATCCGAACAAGGACCTCTATGTTTCTAAAGCGACAAAGAAAGCACTCATGATAAAAATCTTTAGTTCAACACCAAATGCTTGGTTTATGGATATCTTGGAAAACATTCCGAGAGTTAGAACAGATGGACCTCCATACTGGTTAATATTTGTTGGTCAAAACACAAGATACTGTGAAGCCATACCATTACAGTCCAAAGCTATTTTAGATATCTTAGCAGCTTTGACAATATTCGTTGACAAATACCATCCAACAAAACTGACATCTGACTGTGAAAGTTCTTTCAAATCAGATAATGTAAAAAACTATCTGCGTTCAAAAAATGTAAACCAATATTTCATTGTCGACCAAAACCATTCTGCTCTTGGTGTCATTGACGGATGTATAAAAATGTTAAGAGACTTAAACCAACCACAAGGTGGTGAAGCAAATGAAATGTCATATGACGACAAGTATAGACACTTCTCCCAGGCAAAGATGAGACAAGTTTTAAATATTTACAATAACCGTAAACAAAAAGGTTTGGGAAACCACTCCCCCGAAGAAATGAAAAACAACCCTGACTTAGAGAAAGACTATATATTTAATAATTTAGTCAAAAGAGACAAACAAGAAAGAATGCCGGGCTTCAAACTTCAGAAAGGTGACAAAGTAAAAATAGAAATACCTAAACGCGACCCATATGAAAATACTATTGACTATGACAACAATGGGAACTCGACAGGTACTCACATTCGTGTTCGTAAAAATAGAAGAAAGTATACAAGAGAATATTATGAAGTTTTAGGCAAACATGGCAAAATGTACACACTGCAAGCAGAAGATAAAACTACTATTGTCAGACCTCGTTTCAAACTTGTCAAAGTTCAAGGTGGTATACTTTCAAAGACAGTTCCTAACAAATATAAGACAACTCCTGACGAATATGCTAAAGAAGTTGAAAATGACGACTAAGCAATTCTATACCATGCGTAAACTGTCATGTAAGGTGGCATGTATTCTTTACTTTGTCCCGTTGTTTGCGTATATCCTGAAACGAAATGTGTATGGTTTCCTTCTCCCTGCGTGTCATCCCAGTAACAATTTATAGCAAACTTAACGTCGTCTTTAACATCATATCCTTTACCTTTTGTCAAGCTGTGCCAATCGTAATATCTATGCTTATGCCAACCTGCTTGAGATGTACTTAAATCTATGTAATAACTGTGTGCAGGTAAATTTGCACCTGAAATCGTTTTACTTCCACCTGTTTCCTTTGAAGAGTTTGCACAATACAAAAACCTGTCGACTATTTG